CCCACCGGTGCATAATCAAGGCCAGGAGGGAACATGGGAGGTTGGCCAGCCAGGGAGGGACCGTAGGAGGGCTCCAAGGCATCTGTAGCACCTCTCGCTCAGTCCTGATCAGCCAGACCCCAATAGCAAGCTAACCTACTGGTCAGACCGTCTATCCCCCTGTGGTTAGTACACATCATAGTGACTGGTCTACTGCCTTCCCCCTGGTGGTTAGTGCATCTCATAGCAAGTGGTTGAGCAGCCTTACCATATATATAATTAGCATATTATGCTTTGATTGGTTGAACAGCGAATCGGATGACCAGACACTTAGCATATTAGACTTTTATTATATAGGATTAACTAAGACCCATGCTCTCTGCCTCTGGCAACTATAATGTTAAATTTCTAGTCAGTATTTAAAAGGAAATGCAAAATTTATGTGGAATAGTGAAAGTTGATTTAGAAGCCCCCAAATCATCAAATTAGTCAACGCTATTTTAAGAACTAGATGCCAGAATATAGCTCTCAAAACAATCTTTGGAATACCACAGCTGAGTGTGTGTATGGGTAGGTGGGTGGGGGGAGGTGATGGAGTCTTCTGCCTGCCTATGAGATTTGCAACATGTATGTTCATGTTTTTTATATGGGTCACTATAGCCGTGCTCTGAATGTGGACTCCACTGGAAGCAGATCATACATATAATTCACATTTTAGTCCCTATAAAAATTGTATTTGAGATTTATTTTTCTCTTTCTGACTTTTTAAAAAATATTTTATTGATTTTTTACAGAGAGGAGGAGAGAGGGATAGAGAGCTAGAAACATCGATGAGAGAGAAACATTGAACAGCTGCCTCTTGCACACCCCCTACTGGGGATGTGGCCACAGCCAATGTACATGCCCTTGACCGGAATCGAACCCGGGACCTTTCAGTCCGCAGACCGATGCTCTACACTGAGCCAAACCGCTTTCGGCTCTCTTTCTGTCTTAAAAAAACTTAGCTTTTCTTAAAAAGTGATGTTTCCTTATTTTTGGTAGTTGCTGTATATTGCTTTTTGGCTAACAGGAAGTTCATAGCTACATTTTAAGCTTTAGCAGACCATTTATATCTCTTTTTATAAGCCTCTATTATGTTCTTCTATTCTGTGATAAAATATTACCTATTTTTACCTTTTTCCCTTAAACCCTAGTTCTTTTTGCCATTATTCTTCATGGGTATATGTTTATGCAAGCTATTTTCTTTGTAGAAAGAGGAGGGTATAGGCTGACAAATAAATATTTCTCTAAGCTGATTTGAATCCTATATCAAAGTAGAATTGCTTTTAAAAAATCATATAAAATCTCTATTGGATTCTTGGTGATTAATTTTCTTACAAGTTGAAAGAGTTTTTATAAAAGCTGGGTACATATCATTGCTACATTTTCAGTGTTAGAAATCTGCTCTGTTTTCTTCCTTCATTTTTACGCCTGCTAAGCCCTTGATAGGTAGAGAGCAGAGTGGTCTTTAGCAGTTCTGAGGGCCATCACAGATAGAAGTCATTTAATCTCCATGTAAACCAAACTCAGCAGCAATATTTAGGATAAAGCCTCATGGTAAGTCCCTGGAAGCCATTTTTACTAAGGGAAGCAAATCAACAGTACACATTTCAACAACCTGAGACTACATCTTAAATGTTAGGTTTAATATCTCTGCAAAGTCGTGCTGTCAAAGAGGTTCAGACATCATCACAGATCCTTTATTCCCATCATCATGACCATAAGAAAATACTTTAAAAAGGATAATTGGCGCGCGCGCACACACACACACACACACACACACACACACACACACACACACACACACTGAACACCAGGCATTGCTACACTCAATGGACTGTAGAAGAATAATCCACTCTAATATTCTTGATACTCAACAGAGCTCAGTAGAAGTTTCTCTATTTAGTTTTCTCTTGAGCCCAAAATAACCCTAATCCTTTCCTGAACATAAGCCGTTTTAAAGTCACCATATTTATTTACATGTTGAAAGAAAATAAAACTAAGGAAAGAATATCTTGGGAGTTACACACGCAGACAAAGCTATGCTGTAACACACCCCCATGCGCACCATATCCCTCAGCGATTTCACTGAAAGTCTCTGATGCTACAGGTGCATGCTATCTCATGAAACTATTTACAAAGAAAAGGAGGGAGCATAGCTTTACAGATTCCTTATCACATTCTAGAACTTAACAGAATAACCACTGAAGCCAAGTAGTAGGACACAGCAGAGATTTTGGGTGTGTGTGCAGATGATTAAGTATGTACCTGGTTACTTCGAGTATATTTTACTCTGTATGTCAGCCACAAGCACCCCGCATGTGAAGAGGGCACTGAAGAAACTTGGGAACGGTTATGTCTCAAGAACCTTAATTACCGAATTAGGACTCAGAATGTTTAGCTGGGTTGGAAATCCCTTCCCAAAGCTTTAGCATAGCCTTTCTTTGCCTCATTCTTCGGTGCACATAAAAGAAGTACCATGCTCTTATCAGTCTTTTTTCACGTTGACCCAAAACTATTCTTTAACTTTAGTTCTGAACTCTAAATACATACAATGGTGTATGTAAGTCACTTTCTAGTGACTTATCCTTCATCATTTCAGTTGTGTAATGCCTCCAAAGGATGACCTCCATCCCATATCTCATAGCTCTACCAGCATATGGACTATTTATGGCAACCCTGAACACATCCATCCAGAGGGCAATGACACACTAGGCCAGTATCTACTCCTGGGAGGTCAAGATGCTGGCTATAGACACGCACTTTAAAACCCAACACACACGAGCAGGGAATGGCTGCACGGGAGTTGCCTGCTACTGTGCCAAGTCTACACAGCGACTATCTTCTACAGAAACCTCAATGATTTGATTTTAGGACAAGATTGACTTAATGTTATAGGAGAGAAGCAGTGAAAACAACTGCTTTTAAGGAGAAACCAGCACAGGGTTAAAGCCAATTTTTTCTTGAACAGATGATATTTCAGATGGCCACACAATTCCAGATGCATCAATTTCCTTGAAAATCCAATCCATATATGTGCATATGCTGTGCTGGCAGGAGGACCGACTGAAATGGCCGAGACCCAAGAGCTAATATTCTTTTGGCCGGAATAATGCAATTATTATTTTCCTAGCTATCAGTCTAAGCATACAGAGCCATCTGTTATGCAAAGCAAACATACACATCTCAATTACAGAAAATGCAGTTGCCTTGACAGAATTTGGATTACACCACTAACCAGGGCTGTAAAATGTGTTTTGAGCTAGTATATAATGGATGCTTTTCAGGAGTTCCCTAATTAGCATTTACCTGCTTAAACTAATTATTCATCTTTCTTCTTCACTGGCTGATTAAACTTTGTTGGGCAGTCTGCATAGAACAGATGAATATGGGCATTGCAGAGCAACAAACAGTGGAATTTCTGGTTTTATAGCTATTATCATGGTGGCACACCAATTTCAAAACTGGAGAATCCCAACACGAGGTCCCAAACAGATTAAGACAAGGCTTAAAGTCTATTATAAGCAATTATAAAACCAGAGCTTTCAACGAGATGCAAGAATACTAATATTGAGTTAACAATAGCTCCGTTTCTATCATTTGCTTTGCTGAAGTCCACAAAATAACAGAATTATTCTATCCATATACTATAGCAAATAGCTTGCACTCTCTTCAAAGAAGAGTTAATGGACCCTTGTTTGTATTCTCAACAGTAAATAATCAAATTTGGCAGTGTTTCTCCTCCTCCCCCAACCCTTCTCGGATGCCAAATCTATTATTTCCCAATGTCTTACTTGATCTATCTATTATCCAGCAAACTCACTAACAGCCAAAAGGTTCCAGCCACACTGGAGACCTCCTTAGAATGATGCCAACTTTCAGAATCAAGGATCTGGGCTGGGTCCTACTTAAGAGAAGACAAATCTTACCTCCATCTTTAGCTCCAAGGAGCAACTGAATGAGAAATAGATTATCCAAGTTGGCTGATCATCATCATCTCCCTCTCTCCCTCTCTCTCTCTCTCTCTCTCTCTCTCTCTCTCTCTCTCTCTCTCACACACACACACACACACACACACACACACACACACACACACACACACAAAATCCCTCCCTCCCAGGCTTCCTTTCCCTTCCTGCCAAACCACCAGATGAAAAAGGTCACACTCAGCCAATCACCTATATGGGCACAAATATCCAGGTGTTCAGCATTTTTATAGAGAAAACATCTGGGTAATTAGTTGCATCACAAACCTTTCTTTGGGGTATTTGGGCATTTTTCAGACATAGCTTATGTCTTAGAATTGAATGGAAGTAAAAGTTTTGTGTTTCAGAGGAATAGTGAGAACTAATATCTAGGATTCTGCCCCTTGTTCCATTTGCCTCCATTTCCTTATCTTTGAACCTCTAACAGACACGTGTGAGTAATTAAACTATAAATAAAACAAGGCCATCTACATTTATGAAATTGTTTGTCTGCAATAGGAAGCATTTGCAAAAGCAGCAAAATATATCCTTGCTGGAATCCTCCCTGCAACACATTTTAATGGTCTCTCTCAGCATTTCTTGACTCCAATGACTCCCTGTCATTGTGTCAGCTCCCAGGACAATGCAGGGTACTCCATAAACATCCAGTAATAGGACACAAGGGAGGTGCTATCCCTGTGTCCCTCTCCTACCAGGTACAGAGGTTTCAAAGTTCAAAACAACCAAGGGAAGAAACTTCATTTGTACTCAATAAATTAATAATGATCCTTGGGGGAGAGGAGGGGACTAAAGTTTTTAAGCACAAGTTTATTCTGAATGCTCCCAACTGATATACCATTTTCCCACTGACTTTGTGAGAAGAGTCAGGCAGATCGATCAAAGAATAATTCCTTCTTTGGTAATTCATGCTAAACAGAATACCCATTGAGCATGAAAAAGCATGAGGTTCAAGGAGCCTTCACAATCACCACCAAGCATCTAAACAGTTTTACTTACTTGTGAGAGGCCTAGGTAGATTGAGACTGTTTCGGAAATGTACAAAAATTTTCCTTCTTGGTTTAGTGCAAACACAAAGCCATCCAGGGACTGTAGAAAAAAATAAATAAGAAGGTTAATAAATATATATGATGGAGGTTTAATTAGTAAGGAATCTGATACAAGTAACATATCAAATTAAAGACCATTTTATTTCTTCATGTTGAACAAAAGTCCTAAGATCTCTTAGCAATGCATTATACATGAACAAATTAAAGGTCTGAATTAAGATTACAAGCCTTCCTTTATTTCAGTGACTTCCTTATGTCCCTGTCATTTTGATTAAGATGCATTACATTCATGTATAAAATTAGGTGATACTGATTTTATGATATGTTGCATTTATTTGTTTGTTTGTTTATTTATTTGGATTCAATCATTACTAAGATTAAATCAGCAAGATTCTCCACTTAATAGCTGAATAGGAATGGAAATTGTAATGAAATGGAAAAAAAAGGCTCCTTATGAAGAGCAAGTAAAATCATCACTTGAGCTATTATGGACATCAGTGATTTGCTAATTAATAAAGGATTATGCCCGCCTCACTCCCACTGCTTATTATTAGAACAAATAGGAGAAGTCAGTACATTGTGGGGGAATGTTTATAGGCTGAGATCTTACAAATCATGACCCTTTTTTGCAAAACTCTGTATTAAAGTTTTTGTGTGTGACAAAATCTACTTTCTATTATGACTCCTGAAATGGGAACAAAAGGAGAAAGGCAAGGGGGTGGAGGAGAGAAGGATGTTACAAGCCATCTGTAACTCTTGAAACCTTAGTTCACTTTTTAAATGGAGGGCTGCATTTTCAGTTTGATAAATGGTCTAAATCATCAGGGACTCCAGCTGCAATGTACCACTCAAATTGAGAATAAATTTGTTTCAAATTCTTATAATACAAGTGCATTTTATGTGCCATCATCTTAGTCTTTTGTTTGCTTTATTTATTTACTAGAGGCCCAATGTACAAAATTTGTGCAAGAGTAGGCCTCCCTTTTCTTGGCTGGGGGCACCACTTCCTTCTGATACCCAGGACCTGGGCTTCCCTCACAGCCCTGGCTTCGTCCAGAAGGTCTTCCGGTCTAATTAGCATATTGTGCTTTTATTATTATAGATTTTTAACCAGGTAGATTGCACAAACACTACTTGCATAGAAAGAAAAGTTTTAAAGACTAGTGGTATGCACAGAGGCTGTGATTTTGGAAGTATAGGAAATCCACAGTGAGAAGCAGGTAAGTGGCAATACTGAATGTTATAATTCTTAAATATAAAAATGTGGAAGTAGAATGAAAAATGTAATTAAAAAAATGGGCTGCCTGAAATCTCAGCAATTTCAGTCTCCTAAAATACTATTTTTTTTGAGAATGATATATGTATCTATGTATCCATGCATGTTGGAATATGTGTGTATATGTATTTATATATAATTATATGTATATATGAAATTCAAATTCAATGCTTCCAGATCCCTTTTCATAGCCCTACTGATCAGAAACTGTGGGCAGCACACAACCACTTGATTTAGTGGTTTCTAAAAACAATTCAAAAGTCACATTGCATTGTCCACATAAAAGCAAATTACATAATAAACAAGCTTTTGGTTAAAATAGTATAATAATAATAGTTTATATTTATTAAGCAATATGTGCTAAGCAGATTGCATACATACTCACTTTTAATTTTCACAAGTGCCATTTGAAGTAATTATATTGTTATCTGCATTTTACATGCTAGAGAATTGAGGCTTAGCATAGTCAGGCAACATTCCTGTCCCTAGTAAGTGGTAGAGTTGGGACTGGAAAGCTGATAGACTTGGTAACTATGCTGCCTCTTACTAAATATAAAGATTCTCTAATTGATATTATATATTAATGAAAAAATAAATTGTTCAGCATTTCTGGAGTTAAAATATTTATACTGAGGCAGCTTAAAATGCATCACTTGTTTTTGAATGATTTGTTCAAATGGCAGAATCCTCTCACTAGTAGCAGGAGAAAAAATGGGAAATGGGATGACAAGAGAGTTTGTAAGTCACTTTCACAATAGGTCACCTTTGCTCTAAAGCATCCCTCCTGGAACTGGCTATGGGATAGAGAGTGAAACACTAGCAGAGAGAGCTGGGCTCCTTAGCACAGGACACAACCCCATGGCGAGATCCACCCTTCAAACTTAGAGTGTGGTATAGTGGGACCTTACTTAAACCAGGGCAGGAGGGAGAGAGATGCTTTTGCAGAATCCTGAGCAGGATCTCATTCAATGCTGTCTCTGAGGGTGACTCCTGAGGACTATGACGCTCCCCTTTTGACCTTCCCCATGGAGAAAAGAGCCTGGTTAGGTTTTCTGTGCAACCCGATAGCCATGGCCTGGCATATAGTCACCAAGAGTTGTGCAGCCATCTTCTCAAACCTAAAATGCCACTGTCAGATTAGAAGGAGAGAGATTGAGAGAGAGAGAGATAAGAGAGAGAGAGAGAGAGAGAGAGAGAGAGAGAGAGAGAGAGAGAGAGAGAGAGAGAGAGAGAGAGAGATCACGAGAATGTCTATAGGGACAAGTGACAAGGGAAAGGCTGATCCAAAGCAGAAAAGCCTGATGGAACTGGCTCAGAGATATTCTGTAGTGTAGTCCTCTTTTTACAGGCGAGGAAATGGAGGCACCAGGAGGCTAAGTGGCTGGACAAGATCATCCACTAGCCAGTGGCACAGCAGCATGCGAGCGGCTGAGCTTCCTTAGGATTACTGATGTATTTATGACATGATATGTCCCTGGCTAGTGTATTCAACTCCCAAGGAGACTGAATTTCTCAACTGTGGGTGATAAATTATTCAACTTTATCTAGCCAACACCTAACAAACCGCTCAGCCAAGGCTTAGGGAATGCACAGAAACCTCCAAACCCAGTGCTCTCTTTCCCTTATATCACACATGCTCAAGTGACTGAGAGGGATGGCAATTAATCCCTCCGAGAGTTCTGTTTCTGGACCTATTAGATTATTTGCAGATTCTGAAGCCCCAGATGTCTAATATAGTCTGGAATATCTCCCGGCGCTTGGAATATCAGAGTTAGACTGGATTCTTTTATAGTCTTCCAAAACACCGAGTGCCATTCATTTGCCATCCATACACATCCTTTCCTTGCTCACCAAAAGGGATGATGCATTTTTAACATTAGGTTCATATCTCATGTATCTGTGAAAATACTAGAGGAGGTCTGGATACCATAGCAGGGAAACGGAGTATCTGGAGGGGAAACATCTGATGCTATTAAGCAGCAGTGATCTAAGGACTGGCCAGTTTTGTTTGGCAAAATCAGAGACTTCAACACATGTTCCAATTTCCTGGTGAGATGAAAATGAGTCTATGTCTACATGACACAAAGTGTCCGGTCAATTCAATTAAAAATAACAGCAAATGTGGAAGGGATTAAAACAACTAGTCAGATTGGTTATATGCCAGCACAGAGGTAAACAAAACAAAATGAAACAAAATGGTTCGCTAATTTTTCACTTTTATGCTTATCTACCATTTTAGTCAATTATATCTTTAGTGTCAAATGAATGTCTAATACTCTGCTTAGATTACCTGGCAAATAAAAGAATGGGATAGTGGATTGGCAAGGTTGTTCTTTATGTAGCCCTTGCCTTCTCATTCAGAGCGACCCCTATCTATAGTTAGCTGTATTTTGCTGCTTAAAAAAGTAGTTTTTTTTTTTTTTTAAATCCTCACCAAAGGGTATTTTTCTATTGATTTTTAGAGAGCAGAAGAGAGAAGGGAAGACAGAGAGAAACACTGATTTGAGAGAAACACATAGATTGGTTGCCTCCTGCATGAGCTTTGACCAGGGCCCGGGCTGGGGAGGAGCCTACAACCCAGGTACATGTCCTTGACTGGAATCTAACCTGGGACCCTTCGGCTCACAGGCTGAAGCTCTACCCACTAAGCCAAAGCAGCTAGGGCTTAGAAAAGTCTTTTCTTAAGAGTAGCATCAATATTGGTTGAATGTGTATATCTGAATTTTAAAAGATGGGAGGAGAAAAGAAACATTCAATCAGTTAGTCCTGGGAACCAAATACGATTAATCTGAAAGTTCTGTGTAACTTTTTAAAAATTTGAATCAAGAAAGCTGTTTTAATCACTGCAGGCTAGTTTTTAACTTTAAAAAAAAAAAATAACAAACACAAAACTGCCCACTGTTTTCAACAGGTGCCAATTAAGATCTTGGGGTCAAAGGGTTAATTACATCTTCTTACTCAGCACGTCAGATTTCCTGATTATGAGCTAAGGTTGGATTAAGATGAAAAAGAACCTACACGAATGTTAATGCCAGCCCCTCCTTGAGAAGGTTTATTAGAAAGCCATGCTGGAATCTATCTGCTTTCGTCAAAGCAGATGGAGAGCAACATCTCAGAAGAAACAGTGACACAGACATTGTAAGGTGTGCCTGTAGCTGATTTATCAAGACAGTGTTCTCATTACCAAAGCCAGTCCTAAGCCAGCGCACTAGGGCAGACAGGACATTTCCTTTGTCACATCCCAGTAAGTCCATGAGGTACACATGTCGGAATGAGGCTTGGAAATGGAAGTCAGGAGCTACGGCATCTCCACATAAAAAAGCCTGTGATTATAAGGTGTGTCCCCTCCCATCCGTGCAGCATATGAAGGGAAGGCAGAGTTCCTAACCCCCAACGCCAAGGGCATCTCACACTATTTGTCAAATGATGAGGTTATTTCCTTGCAGAGCATGAAACTAACTACAACTTCATGACTGAGGTATACGGATGTTTGCCGCATGGTGCTAAATGGATTTATGTTTGTCAAAGTCATCTGCCTCTGCTTTCTTTTCCTTTCTTTCTTTCTTTCTTTCTTTCTTTCTTTCTTTCTTTCTTTCTTTCTTTCTTTCTTTCTTTCTTTCTTTCTTTCTTTCTTTCTTTCTTTCTTTCTTTCTTTCTTTCTTTCTTTCTTTCTTCCTTCCTTCCTTCCTTCCTTCCTTCCTTCCTTCCTTCCTTCCTTCCTTCCTTCCTTCCTTCCTTCCTTTCTTCCTTTCTTCCTTTCTTCC